TAGTCGTTGAAATTATCTATGATTGATTAATCAATATGTGTTGTGATGTTTCGAGTTCTGTTTAGTTGAGAATTGATTGAGGTTAGATTGATAAATCGTATTTTCTTTTGTCTTGTTCGAGAGAAAAAATAGAGTACATGCCGGTCCAAAAGTTTGTAAGAAATTGGTTTTAAATGTTGCACAATATGTGGGATTGTAAAATTTTAAAACTATTATCTATTATTGAAACTTCATTTGAGCCACATTATTTTTCTCATTCTCATTCTTCTACTTATTTTCAACCACACATTATTTAATAAAATAATATTTTTCATCGCATCGATAACTTTTCTTTCTTTTTCAACCACATATTCCACATCACGCCACTTCAAAAAAATGCATTCTATCATTTTAATATGCACCAAACACACTAATCTTAGAGTTGAATTACTACTCATCAGGCGGTGTTAACGCGCTTGGCCAATGGTTTTAGGACAAATCAAATGCAAATGATTGAGTATTAATGAACTATCAAACACAATTAATATACATATTTAAAAAATACAAAATTAAAGACACTCGATATGTCACGGTATTGATATGCATTGGTTCAAAAACAATAAAAATAAAGGGAGCACCCTTTGTTGCACGATAAAAAGCGAAGTACAAACTTTAAGACCATTGCCCATCTAAGAGTCACTAACTAGGCCTTGTTTAGAACCCATTGAACAACAAGTTTAAGAACTCGACAACTAAGCCCAATGTCCAGCCCCATTGAGAAAGCCCAGCCCTAACTATTCAACATAAGTGATAATTAGGCTCTACAGTTTTCGACCCATAAAAAAGGATACAAGTTTGATGTCTTAAACCTTTTCTGAGAATTGGAATCGGGTTGTTTGGACTTTAAAATTTACAAGTCGGTTGTGGGAGAAATGATAGAGAAATTGACATTATTATCATTTATAAGGGACAGTAATGGAGTTGTAACACTCTTTTGAAAACTTTGTTTTCAGATCTTTCGCAGCTCTTAATTTCCATAATCACTAAGCAACTGATCTTCGTTGGCGTATTATGCATGACCTGAGTGGACAGCGTCGCAAGAGTATGTACAATTGGGTTTGGGGTTGGCAAAAAAATTGAAAAATCAACCAAACCATACCGAGTTGGGTCGGTTTGAACAAAAAAAATCGGTTTGGTTCGGTTAAATTTAACAATGAAAAAGTCGGGTCCCATCAACTAACCGACCCAACTCGCTAATATATTTTTTTCATTTAAAATTCATATTTTTAAACTCAAAAAATGAATTAATAAAAACACAAATATAATTTTGGGTTAAAATAATTTGTTTGCCATCTACACTTCTTTTATCAAAACTCCGAAAATAAAAGTAAGGAGAATAATTGTTTGTTGTAAACTCCAAATTGGGATTTTAGCCTTTTATTTTGATGTAATTGTTTGTTGGTAATTATCGGATATATATGATGATTTTGAGAAAATCGATCATTTACCATTTACATTATATATATATTAGGTAGGCAATTTTTTTTTAGCTCGGACCAATATTCAAACCGACTTCAATAGTTGGTTTGGGCTAAAATATATTCAAATTGACCAAGTTGGTTTCGGTTTTGGGTTGGACTTAAAACCAACCCAATCCAAACTATGCACAGACCTAAGTGGGGGTGGGGTCAGTGTATGACATTAATGCAGGTTGATGGGAGGACCAAATGGAGTGGGACTGTTGAGGAATGGAAGATAGCAGACCACACATGTAGGAAGACAAGGCCATTACATCATTGTCACAAATGAATGAAGGCAAATGAACATTGTGCTTGCTTACTCTACCATGTTGATAAACTAGTTGGTACTGTGGGAAAAGTATGTACTCAAGTTGGTACATGAGGGCGTGCACGCACACTACATAATATGCTTGTTGAATAAAACAAATTTAACTTATTCGGTTCGAGCAACAACTTATCAAGAACGGATATGAATATTGAGACGCGTTCTATATATGCCATTTCTTTAAATGAGTGGTAGTCCCAAAAACTAGGTTGAGCTTCATTTGTAATGGACTTTGACTTGGTCGAACCCTTCAACATTATCCGATATGTGTTGGATGTCTATACTCCACTTTAGAAAATGCCCATGTTCGCCCGATACGCAAAAACTAGGCAATATTTTTAATGCTGCCATTCCCACTAAACATTCTTGCAACCTAGTATTTTGCTAGAAAAAAAAAACTTGTAAAGCAGTAAAGAATAGAAAAAGAGGTGGACAATGAGTGGGTGATGTTTCCCCAACCACCCAACCTACACCCACCCCTGCCTTGATGTTTCAACATCATTTCAGAGTACATTCCTTTATGGTATTTGCATAGTGTTCAAAACAAGACCCCATCGATTAGACTTTTCAACAACCAAAACTCCTTGGTTATTCTGCAAACCAGATGAGCACATCACCACAATATACCCACATGTGGATGGTGAAACTGAAATGAACCCGGGACCATCACAAGCTATCATATTGTCTTAAATTATCATATGCACATGGATCTTTGTTCTTTTGTTGTTGGACTCTCTATACTAATCTTTTCGATCACATATCATGAATTATTTAGGTGGAAACTTTAAGTGAGACAAATTGAGAGCCATGAAATCACCATTTTAATCATCTATCTCTATTTTGCTTTGCTTAATATTGCTCTCTTGATCGAGATTATTGCTAGCATCTTATACATTCGCAAGAAGGGTCGGCAATTGCCCTGAATAAGTAGCGGACGACCCCTCGGCCTAGGCTTCTCCCCCACCGAGCTCCTCCCACAATGGACCGCTTCTGGTACCCGTCTTCGGTTGGATCAAAGTTGTCTGGTGAACTTAGTCAATCAAAACTTAACAACAAACAAGCAACTGAAAATTAGTTGAAAGCTGTACAACAAAAATGGTCCCTGTTTTCTCTCTTGATTGTGGACATTGGCTCCTTTCCTTTGTGTGAATCTGCAGGTCTCAAAGTTGAAATGGCTAACAACCTGCACTGCCAGGTGCTGGCCACTAACTTCCTTCTCCTGGATGATCAGTCCTAACCAAGCAAGTTACAAGGCTTTTGCTGCTTATGATCACAACTGGAATAATCCTTCAAAACAAAACTTAATGGTCAAATCTTATACAAGAAAATAAACTGCTCAGTTCCTTGATGGGTTGATACGTATTTTATGACAAGAAATTAAGATTTATTTCGAAGCTTTTTCTTTTATTTGATTTATTTCTTTTCTCTGGTTTTAGATTTTGAATTTTATTAACAGGGCAGGGTATGTAATTCTTATTCATGTAATGTCTTCTTTGATAGTTTATTGATTGCAATAACAATCAAGAGCAGAGAACACATTTTATCATGTTTTCCCTATAAACTGGAGGGAAATGGGATATAGCACCCATGCCATTAAAATTCATTTTATCAACATTATGTTCTTCATTTGTCCTTCGAGGTGAAAAGGGAATAAAACTCATCAGCTTAAGTCCAACAAAGCCAACTGAGGTCCCAAATTCAAGTCCAATTGCTAATCATTTATCAAAAAGGTACACACATGTCTAGCTTGTTTGTAAATGCACAAAATGACTTTTTTATTGCAGTAATTCAAACTTACCAAAACCTACCTCTAATCAAAATGGAAGATTGGACAGGATAATAACAAAAGAATGAGATATAAAAAGGATCGAGACAAGAGTTGAACTCTTTGTCCTTAAGACGAATTTGCCCCACACATGTGCCTACGGCTTAGGACAATCGTCTCTCAAAATACAACGATCAAATTATTGTGTTTGCTGCACTTCAAAACACAAGAAACAGCGAACCAAATGAAGTTATGAACTCCTTTTTGTAATGAAAAACAAAGGCTTTTTGATGAAGAATTTTGGCTAGAAAATGACGTTATATGCTATGATTGCACAGGATTGAAGTGTATGAAACCAACACAGAGGTCTAATTTATAGAAGTTGACGAAGTGTACACGAAGTGACACAAACCAAAAATCAATCTATTTTCTAAAAGTCACACAAGTACACCAGTGCTCGCTGGCTGTGGACTTGATGCTTGAGCGCTGAGAGTAGGGACACCATCGTGCGCTTGGCGCGAAACTGCTGCTTGAGCGGTGGTTTCATCCATTGACTTTTTCATTTATTCAAAATTTCATGATTTTCAACCGAAGTTCATCCATTAATTTCGCATTCATCCGTAAACAGTTTTCGACACCCAAATATATCAAATTCATCTACTCGACGAGTAGAATGTGTGCGACCCATTTCTCCTAAAATTTGAGTAGCAAAAGCCTTCCAAATATTTGGTCAAAGATTGATTGAAAAAAAGAACTTTATTTTAACTATTTTCCAACATAGCCTTGTATGAGAAAATGAATTTGGCCCACGTAGGAGACATGTTGAAATATAATCTAAATAAATAACTTTATCCTAATGCGAAAATAGTTGAATAATTAACCAAAGGCTCTTTTTCTTTTAAGAGAACCAAATCAAATGAACAATTTCAGGAAGAAAAGAAACACAGCCTCATAAAAGGAAATCCAGGGTTCGTTTGATTGGTTTAAATTTCATGAAAAATGTCACATCCAAAGAATTCAGTTTCTACTTTGGCTGTTTGAGACGAAAGTGGAAATAGAGTTTGAATTCCAAGGTACAACCACTTTAAACTTGTTTTTTGCCAATTTCATGGAAAATACATTCCTATGTGGTACTTGAGTTATTATTTTCCAACTCACATGGAATTGAAAAGCATTTCCACCTTTGTCAATCAAATAGGCCCTAAGTTTCCATTAGACAAGAATAACACAAGACATCTAGTAGTTACAACTTGCAAAGGAAATTGAATATTGATGTGAAAGAAATATACGAAGCTATTGCGTAGTGAGTTCACACTTTCCTGCGTAATAATTACAAAAACATTTCCCCGCAGAAAAAAATTAATAAGTTCCAAGTTAGCTTCTTCTAGTGACATTGCGAAGAATCCATATTTCACCTCGATAGATCGAATTTTTGGGAGTAACCGAGATGCTCTGTCTCCCAGCTCAGTTTCGAAGCAACTCTTTCATGGCAGGGAACATACTCCTAAAAATAAAAATCTTTCAACAGTTATACATGAGTGGAGTACCTCCAAGGTTACACTCTAAAAGATGGAACATTATTCATGCATGCTTGATGTAGTGTTAGATTATAGTGGACAACTTTGAATTTCTTACATAATATTGTCCAGTGTTTGTGAGGACCACTAGGACTTTCTCCACACATTCAAATAATTAGCAGTTCAGTGTCAACGTGAGGGGTGGATTTTGTCCGTGTGATATCTCAATGGTCACCACCAAGCAGAAATTTCTGTGAATGCAGAATGGTTTGTCTTCTTTTGAATTTTCAAGTTATTATTATTATTTTTTTTTCTCTTCTTTTGAATTTTCAAGTTATTTTTTTTTTTCCAACTAAAACATTGAACTTATCTGCTTCTTAAGGCATAATTTGGTTCATATGCTAAGTATAATCAACAAAAATCTCAGTATATTAGTCATGAAAATTCAGAAAAGATACCTCCAATTTCTCAACTAGCTCCTTTGCTGTAGGTGCAGATATAATGATTTGGCGAGCATTTGGACTAATGAAGCCTTCCTCAACGGCTTTGTCGATGAATGATAACAATGAATTGTAGTATCCATCCACATTTAGCAAACCTACCTGCAAAATGTGTACTGCTTATGTATCTTTACTTCTGAAATTCTTTCAAAGCCATATCTCATGGATTTTCGGTTTTGAACCAGGAAATTTTTAGACAACTGCTGTGAAATAATTAGAAAGACTAATAGTTGCATGTCTAGAAATACCGGTTTATCATGAATGCCCAGTTGAGCCCAGGTTATAACTTCAAGTAGTTCTTCGAGAGTTCCATAACCACCTGCATGCATTTACATGACCAAGTTAAAAATTGTGCATGCAATATTACAATGGTGAGAGAGTAAATTCTCCTTCGGTATACACGTAATAGTTAACACATATTGCATACTCGTATTCGTGAAATTTAATTAATACCAAAAAAGATCAAGTTTATGTGGAGGTGGTACATCTAGGAAGCAAATGGAATCTTTAATGCACTAAACATAATACATGAAAACTTTCAAAAAAAAATTTATATTGAAAGCACCTAGAGAGTCGAGTACATATTAATACTAGAAAGAGATAAAGTAGAAAATACAAAACATTGGAGATGAATATACGACGTCACCTTGAGCCAGCCAACGGAAGAAACAAAGATAAAATTAACCAATCCAACAGATTGGGAGCTAAAAATAATGGCATTTGATCTCACCATTTCCAAAATTGGCATTTATTGCTCTCATCCTTTGGTAAATCAGAGGCATGATCCTCTGCAAGGTTTTCAGTTATTATATCTCCCATACTACAGGGTAGTAATACTATATAATTCAGTACACGTTTTTAGTTTGTTTACAAATTCAGTTGACTCAATTAAGAAATGAAGATGCAGCCGTAGTGTGGCAAGTAAACATTCAACCATATTTTGTACAAATATCCCCTAACAATGAAGTGCAACATGAGTGGATATCCGTATGAATCGAAATCACTCGCTTTTGGCGTAGCCCCCAAATTTGTTCAAATATTTCATCCAACACTTTTCTGGAGGCTCTCAAGCATCAGAGATGAATGGGGCTAAGTGATCAGTTTCTTAAAACCTTGCTTAGTTTCCATGTAAACAAGATTAACTAATGTTTCCATTTACTCAGAAGTATCACTGGAGAATGTGATACAATAACAAAATTTTACATGCCATTATTAGAGGAATTAAAGAAGTTGACAAGTCTCAATATAATTGTTGGACTTGACTTGGAGTTCACTGCAAAAATTTGAGGATTTCTTCTACAGGAATTGAACCAACCTGGCAAGGCGATAAAAGCGTCAGAATGTCTAGCCATCTCTGCCTTCCTTTGGTGCATATCTGCAACTTCCTTCACTTCCCCTACTGTTACACCGGTTAACTGCATAAGTTCAAAAAATCCCATCAAGCAAAAAATTGAAAAAGCTGAACCTTCAATGTGGATTGGGTTGTGGGGCAGAGAGAAGGGTGGAGTCTAATTGTATTGAGTGCTCTGCACTTGTTCACTGAAGCCATGATGAAGATTACACATTAGAGGAATGCTTGGCTAGCATAAAAGTAACTTTTTTTTTTAAAGCACGAGAAAATACTTGTTGAAAAGAAGTTAATTTTAATAACTATATAGACTAGCCAAACATGCTTTTCCAAATATCTTTGAAGTCAACACCTCATGTGGTTGATACTGGATAAACTAGCAGATAAAAGTGTACAAAGAAAGAATTTGAATCACAGAAAAGTCCAAGGAAGAAAACTACAAGCTGACACTCAGAGCACAACAAAGTAAACAGATCATTAATCAGAAAAGGAAAAATCAGAGGTAACATTTGAAACACAAAACTCTGGCCACGTATGGATAAGGCTAGCAAGCACTAAGAAAGAAACAAGACCTCCATTTCTAAAGCGACGTAAAAAGCCAAATATCAATAACTAAAAACGTAAATCATTGGCAAAGACAAAGTAAAAAGATGATTTAACAAAATTATTGCGACAAACAGCATTGAAAGCAAAAAGGAAAGTACCAGAAAAAGACAGATGAAGATTAAAGAGAAAGGAGAATTAAGGAAAAATGCATTAAAAACAGTATGAGTATTTGATGTAATAATATAAGAGAAAAGGCCCAAGACTTTTATAACCACAGGGGACATACCTCTTGAGGCATGAGCGTCTTGGGAATAACCCTGCAGAGGCAGACAATAACATGACAAAAAAATTTAGTTTTAATGAAGTATTAAACTAAACTAAGCATAACAAGAGTCATACTCTTATTCTAAGTTTAAAACCATTTTTTGCGTTTTTTGAGAGTTTCAATTCGAGGGAAATATACTCGACAGAATAAAACCAAGTTTTATTTCAAATAAATTTGGAACCGAAGGTGGATTGAAATACAAGGAAAGGAAGCTCACCCAATAACATGACGACCACCATCATGAACAGCCTGCGAAACCAAACCCATGAGACCTATGCTGCCTCCTCCATAGACCAAATCAATGTTTCTAGAAACCTTCAACAACACACAAACATATAAAAGCATTTTGTATATTTCTTAACCATTTATAAGTAACATTATGAAAGAGGGAAAAATGCACAAATAGATTCTAAAAGACTCAAGCAAAGAATGCAGGAGATGGGAGACCATGAGTACTTGTTATCACATCTTCTTATCTATTTGAGGAAGAAAAGAGGGTATAATTGCAAAAATTGAGAGAGAGCTGTGCCTCGTGGCTGATAGAAACAGCACAGATGGCAATCAAATGTAGACCCGTGTCTTGTGAAACCTTAAATAAATGAACTATGTCATTAATATTTACACACACATACATACAGAGATGTGAAGATACTGCATTAGGTCTCTATTTGAGTAGACTTGAGAAAAACAGAATATTTGCATGAGAAAGTTGAGGAAGAAATGAACACGCGGGGAAGCAACTAACGAAAAATTCCAGCAAATTTTAGACGATTTCAAGCAAAAACCCATGTCATTTCTATACACACAGAAGTTGCAAAAACAAGTTCTTGAAAAGCCCAATTTCGTTTATGAACAGCCCATTTGAAAAAACAATCTCAATATTGACATTTCACTCCAAAAAAAACATCAAAACCTTAAGAAACAAAAAACAAAATGAAGTTTCATTAACGTACCAATTCATTGCCCAAGTCAATAGCAGCTTCTTGATAGCTAGTTTTCTTGCCTTGGCTACTCCCACAAAACACACAAATCCTTTTGAATTTTGAAGCCTTTACCTCACTCTGTGTCTCCATTTTCTTCGGATTTTCTCGCTCCTCCTAGCCTCAATCTCTCTCTACACTATAAATTTGTCTCTATCTCTGTGTGTTTATAGCAACTTGAAAATAAAAGACAAATCTTTCTTCTTTTAATCGTCTTCTACCATACACATTTTAGCAAATATGTAATGTGTTTATATAAATACATACATATTGTATATGTATAGAAAGAAAGGGGCGGTGTGCCGCAGAACAAAACAAGCATCAACTTGTAGAGACCCTTTTGATCGACCACCCTTGCTTAGTCCCTTGCCAACAAAATGCTCGTATTTATAATGGCTGTTGCACGTGGAAAACACAATGGCCATGCTGCCCTACGTGACTGGCACGTGTGGACCATTTTGTTAGTTCATTTTAATTGTTTGAAAATGGATGGCTGTTAATCCAAAAGGACAACATATTATTATCACTAATATTATTAATTTATGAGACGGAATACTCCGGAATACTTCAATCTCCTTATAAATTCAAGAGTATCTTCACATCTAATCGACATGTGACACTTGTTCAATATCTCCAACAATTTATCTTCAAATAAAGTACCACATTATCACCATTCACACATTATCATAACAATGTCATCAAATGACGCTCTTTTTGGTTCATCTTCATTGAAGTTTACATTATCTCTAATGTGCCAAGCACGTTTCCACTGAGCCTACCACCTCGAAAGTTCATCTAAATCTCTCTTGTTCACAATATATTAGGATCCAATTCATTTTTTTTTTTTTTTTCAGACGTTCGGAAACTTTATTTTTTTACTATATTTAGCCAATGACTGATGTTTCTGATTGAGATCCTCTTAGATGGAATAACCTAAATTCCTACAAACTCAAGATCAACCCTATGTATGATTTTTGTTTGGACATCTCCAACAAGAAACGTGAGGGAAATTTATTATGGGAATCTAACAATGTTGCAAAAGGTCATTTTTGCCGTAATATGATGCTAAATTTATCGGTTAAAAATATTATTTATCAAGATTCAAGGTTTTTATCTTAAAATGTTATCCTTAGTAAGAGGATTAATATAGGTTATTATACGTTGGTTATCAATTTCATTTTTAATCGGTGTGAGATTTTATCATTTAACACTCTCGTAATATGATGACTTGTTTTAAGAACATCAATTTTGAAATCAGATTGCTCATTTGAGTCGTAAATGGATTCACTTACTTATCTGAGTTTAATGTTTGTCGATATCGACCTTATTAAATTGAGTAGAACAAACTCTTATATTTTTGTGACTCAACTTGTGATTTATTGGAATTCGAATACTTTGTTTAAATTTTAAACGGATTCAATCGCTTGTTTAAACTTACTATAATTTGATATCTTAAAAGGTCAATCCTTTAAAATTTAATTTTTTTTATTAGGTATTTAGAACACAATTGTGCTGACAGGCTAAGCATTGAACAAAGTAACAGTTGACAAGACGATTGATAAAGCAAAAATTTCTGTTAAAACCATGTATATCAACAAACGACCTTTCGTAGTTGGAAAGTTAGTAAATTGACTGAACGCTTCACATCACAAAAAGACTGGTCAATTTCAATTAACATACGAACAAGCATTGTCATTGACACATACTCCATGACACCACAGCTACTCAACTACAATTACTTTTTCTGTCCATATTTCTGAATTTTTTTTTTTTTTTTGGCAAAATTTAAGATTTGCTTTAATTTGATAACTCAGTTAAAATTCATTAATAGAAAAGTAACGTAGAAGTGTAGTGCATGTTCTCTTTATCGTTTTCTGCTTTCGATTTTTTCGAAACAGTGAAAACGCGTTTTTGAAAACAAATTTAAAATTTACAAAAAGGGTATTTTCAGTTTTAATTAAACTAAAATTTTCAAAACACGATTTTGGTATTTTCAGTTTAACGTCACCCTAACCACCACCATCGCCGCCTACACCATACCACCACCAAAACCATCGCCGCTGCACCACACCACTACCACACAATTGCCAGATCCGCCACCACCACACAACCGTCAAATCAACCACTACAAAATAGCAAAAATCACAGCAAAACCACCACTACAGCCACGCCAAAACAAGCACACTACTGCCACAGCCACACACCCAAACACCACAGCCACACAATAGCACCCAACCACCACCACACCCAAAAGCCACCGACACAGCACGCACACCACCGCCATAGCCACGCACCCAAACACCACTACCATAGCCACGACCTGCACCACACCACCGTTGCACACCATGCACCCAAAACCACAACACACCATCGCCACAACCAACCACTGTCACAGTCATCTCTGCATGCGAGAGAGAGGAGATAGAGAGACGAAGCCACCGGTGATCGCAGCCACAACCAACCACCGTCGCACACCACGCACCGATCACAGCCACCTCGCTGCTCGTCGACAGAGAGAAGTGGAAGAAGAGAGAAAGATGACAAAGAGAGGGGAAGGAGAGAGAGTGAAAGAAAGAGAACGGGTTTTCCAATTTTTGATTTTTGAAAACAATTTTTCAAAATGTCAAAAAGAACACATTTTTAATAATCTCAAAATGGATACTCAAAATACAAAATTCAAAATGAATTCAAAACACAAAAAGAACAACTTATTAGTTATTTACCATATCGAATAGTTAACATTTTCAACTTAGAAATGTAAATACAGCGAGCTCGGTCGTGAATGTGACGTAGTCAAAATTGATGGGTAAAATGCAAAAGAATTGATATGTTTCGCATAGAGGACTGTGCATGCAGAGTGATGATTGAATAAATTAACAAGTGGGTTAAGAGTTACGGCTATTAAGACAGGCAGTCCTGTTCCTGTTTGATTAAGAGGAAAATTTTTGATTTGAAGACACCATTCCTTTCCCCATATCCCACCTAACCTAGGCATGCTGTCCAACCCCATCCTTTCATCGTTAATTCTGCAATCACGCTTTCTTAATCTCATGATCCACCATTCCAATTATTCTGCC